CCATCAGCCACCCTAAGGGAGAAAGATGAAGCTGGCTGCTCCTATAAAGATTTATAACCGTGGGAACCTTATGGAGTAATTCTACTCCGCCATGCAGGGTCTCAACTTGATGGCAGTGTTGTTGTTGTTTTTAAGTGCTGTCGAGTCCATTCTGACCCATAGCGACTCTGTATAGGGTTTCCAAGGAGCAGCTGGTGAATTTGAACTGCCAACTTTGTGGTTCCAAGTCCCGTGCTGATCCTGCAGTGCCACCCAGGAGTCCATGACAGCAGTGGGCGGGTACTTTTCGATGACAGAACCTTGGTGGCTCAAGTAGTTAAACATTTAGCTGTTAATAGAGAGGTTGGTGGTTCAAACCCTAGCAGCACTTCAACAGAAAAGGTCTGGCAACCTGTTTCTGTGAAGATTGTCGCCAAGGAAATATCAGGGGGCAACTCTACTCTGTCAAATGGGGTCGCCATGAGCTGGGCTTGACTTTGATAGCAACTGGCCACACGGTTCTGATTCTGCTCGGTGCTACTGTGGCCCTGGGTGAGTCACAGCGGGTCTTGGCTACGAGATGGAGAATTCAATGTGAACATGTGGGCCCAGCATGGGGAAGGCTGGCCCCTGGGCTCTGGTGTTCGCTGATTGTGGAGTTCCTCTGACCTGGGGGCCCTGGGACTCCTGCCAGGCAGGGGCGCTGGGTGTTTTCTCCATAGCCCAGGTCGAACTCTCTCTTTGCTCTTGCCCAAGGCCTGTCCTTGAACAGTACTCTCTTGTTCCCCTAGCTGGGAGGCCCCTCACGCCTGGGTTCCTCCCACTGTCTCTGGCTTCCTGTCAGCTGTCCTCTGTCCCCAGCACCATGACCCACCTGGTCATGACACTACACGGTCACCACCTTGGTCATCACCACCATTTGTTTAGTATTTGTGATACAACACCACTGCTTTCTAGTTGGCTCCCATTCATAGTGACGCTCTAGGACACAGAAGTGCCCCGTGGAGCTCCCCAGGCCTCATATTTCTCCCATGGAGCACCTGGTGGCTGGTAGGCAGAGACCTTGAGCGTTCCTACCCAGCTACTATTGTTGTTGTTGTTAGGTGCCATCAAGTCAGAACCGATTCATAGTGACCCTATGCACAGCAGAACGAAATACTGTCCGATCCTGGGCCAATCTCACTACTGTTGCCACACTTGAGTCCATCAATGCTGCCACCTGGCCAATCCATCTCGTTGGGGGTCTTCCTCTTTTTCTCTGACCCTCCATCTTATCAAGCATGATATCCTTCTCTAGTGACTGTTCCCTCCTGACAATATGTCTGAAGTATGAGAGACGAAGTTTGGCCATCTTGGTCTCTAAGGAGCACTCTGGCTGCACTTCTTCCAAAATGGATCTGTTGGTTCTTTTGGTAGCTTGGCACTTTTAGTATTCTCCTCTAACACCACAACTCAAAGGCATCAATTCTTCTACCCAGCTACTATTAGTGCCCCATTTTGCAGGTGGGGAAACTGAGGTGGGAGAGGGTTAGGTGGCAGAGGTGCTCTGCTCTGTGCATCTTCCCAATCTCCCCATCACCATGCCCTTGGGGTCCTGGCCTCTGACCTCGGCCGCACCCAGCCCTTCATGGTGCTTAGGGAGGCTGGTCCACCGGGGAGTGGTCCAGAGATCACATGACCCCTCCACGCAGATGCCCACATGCTTGACTGGAAGTGGTTTCTGTGTGTTGACCTTTCATCATGTTTCCGGGCCTCAGGCCAGTTGGAGAGACAATGCCCCAGCAGGTGGGAGGTCATGGTGTGGGAAGGTGTTCCCCGGCCTTGGGCTCTGCGGAAGGCTGACTTCATCCACCAATCAATCCCCTGAGGTCACTGGCCTGTGGATGATGGAGGAGAACCAGCCTGGCCAGCCACGTGCATCACCACTCTCCTAGACATGCGTGTTCCTTTCCAGCCGAACTTTGAACAAATACCTTGTACATTGCTGCTTCACAGAGTGTCAGGTGGCAAATTGGGGTCCACAAACGACAGGCCATCAGCCTGGCTCAAAGGTCTCCCCTGGTCGGTCAGTGGGTAGGAAGGAGGGAGGGGCAGTAGGCCCAGCTTCTGATAGGCAAGGTCTGGTGGTGAACTTGGCTTGGGGAGGGTGCCCACTTTTAACTGCCTCGCTTCATGGTAGTCCTGGGAAGCTGAGAGCCGGGCACCCTTGTTATCCCTGCCCAGGGCTTCAGCTGCTCTGTGAAGACCAGGCTAAGGAAGAACAGCCAAGAGAATGTAAACCCTGCTTTCTCTGGAGAAGTCACTGTCACTTCAGAACGTGTGACTGAGCCAGCCTGTGACCTTCACTCCCCTCCTGTAGGAGGCTTCCCTCTGGGGTGAGGGATGGTGGGCTGGTCTCAAGCTCCTGGCAGCCTCCAGAGGGAGGCAGGGATGAGGGGATAGTTCTGAGCGGGGTTAGCGGGGGCGCGGGCTTCAGAGGTGTGACCCAAGGGTGCTTCAGAGAGCACACTGGGTGCGCCCCAGCAACCCTGTCCCGGTACCAGGCCCAGCAGACTGGACAGTGGTCTGTTTGGTGCCCCTAGCTGTGAGGTGCATACCAGGCCAGGTGACGTTGGGAGGAAGTCAGCGGGAGGGCAGGCTGTGGGGCTGTGCAAGGTCAGGCAGGGTGTCCGGTAATTGTCCTCGCCCTCTACCTGTTCTGGAGCCATAATGAGAGGGTGTCCATTATTTTCGGGTGAACGCTCCTGGCAGCTGCCGACAGCCAGCAGATGTGTAAACTCGGGGCTGATTTGTAAGGGTACGCATGGTGATTCCATAGGCATGGCTGTCACTCAGAGGTGCATCCTGGTCTGTAGGGACAAGGTAAAGGTCAGTTCACAGAACTGGGCTGGACCCCATTCCCATGGGCTCCAGGTGACAGGCTGACCTCTGGTGGAGGCCCCTTTCCCTGAAGTTCTTGGGTGGGGTGAGGCTCGATGCTAAAATTCCTGAGGTTTGCTCCCTTGGAGGTCTCTGGTGGGTTATGATGGGGCCTTGATGTCCTGCCTGGCTTTGCCAGCATTCAGAGGAATGCTGAGGATTAGTGGTCTTTGGACTTGGGTTGGTGCCTTCATCTACACAGGTGTCTCCCCCACTCCACACCCCGCCCCCCCCAGCACACACACCCTCCACACCTGTAGAGCTTGTAAACGGTCTTATCTGTGGACACCCTGGAGCAGAGCCACATGGGTTCCTGGGGCCTCAGCACCTTTGTTCAGAGGGAAGCTTTTCTCTCTGAGGGGCTCGGGGCCCAGGAAGCACCAGTTGCTTTAGATGGCTGCTCTGGGGTCCCACACCCAGAGCAGGATGGGTACAGTCACTAATTCTTTGCTTCTAGTCTAGGTGTGTCTTACTTGTGGGGTCCCTTGTGGCCTTGTGTGTTCTCCACATCATGTTTTCAAGGTTCCTCCATGTCTTGGCTTGTGCAGACATTTCAGTTCTCTTTATGGCTGAGAAATACTTAGTGTTTGCAGAGCCTACATGTTATCTCTTCATCTGCTGATGGTCAGTGAGTTGCTCCCACTTTTTGGCTCTTGTGAATGATAATGGATAATGTTTTATTAATAAGATTCATGTTAACTTTTTTTTGTTGTTTGTTTGTTTTAATGAAGAAATGCCCTGAGACTCTTATCTGGAGGAGGGAGCACCAAGAGTGGGTGTGGTCGATGGCCCATGTGGACAAGACGCAAAGGGACAGGATCTGACCTAGGGCTTCTGCACCAAATGTTCAGGGATTCATTCCACCTCTAAAGTGAATACCTGGGTCTAACGCCCCCTCCCCACCCCCTGTGTAAGTTCTGTGGTTTCTGCACTTTGTGCTCTGCGTCAGAAGTTGTTTGGATGCAGATGTGAGGCACTGTCATCTCCCTGTCACATGGATTGTTCAGTCTTCTGAGAAGGTCACACCATAAAACATTAGCAATAATTAGTCCCCCGGGACCCCTGCATTTCTTCACTCAACTGCTCCATTAACTTGGGTGCAAATCACACATTCCCGCCGCCAATCAATGAAGATCTATCTGTGAGCTACAAGGGGATGCGATTAGTTACAATATACTAACTGCCTAATATAAAAATAAAAATGCTATCTTTGTGAAGGGCAATTAACCACTAAGTGTAATTGATCACCCATAAACCTCTGATTACAAAAGACAAATAGTAAGAAAGAAATGGATAGCCCTGGTTACTGCAGGAGACACCGCTGTTGCCGCTCAGCATGCGTCCCCTCCTCTGTCAGTCCATTCCACAGATTTCTTCCTAATCGCACCTGTCAGCTGGCCGACTAGGAGAGGCTCCATGAGGCAGGAGGCACACAGGACTCGAGAACAGGACACAGAACGTTTCTGCTGCAGCCTGGAGGGTCACCCTCTGGGAAGCAGGGTCCAGGCCCTCTCACTAGCCACATCCACCTTTCCATTGGTGAGGGCAGATACTTGCTAGGACTAGGCCAAGCCTGTGTGAAGTTCTGGGTGACCTTGCCTCAGGGAGACAAAGTCATCGAAGGCTTCAGATAGTGGTTAACGTTGTAAAGACCAAGAAGAATGGAATATGGGGGGCACTTGGACTGGGACCTGCATCTTTCTTCATTGCTGTCTTCGCTGCCCACAGCCCATCTGGCTTTTTGCCTTTGAGAGTTGCATTCAGAACCCCCTCCTTCCCAGGAGCCCTGGTGGCACAGTGGGTTAAGTGATGGGCTGCTCACTGCAAAGGTTCGAAGCAGCTAGCTGCTCTGAGGGAGAAAGATGAGGCTGTCTGCCTCCGTAAAGATTTATAGTCTCAGAAACCCTGGGGAGCAGTTCTCTGTCCTTTAGGGTCAGTATGAGTTGGAATTGATTCATGGCAATGGTGTGGTTTTTAATGGGTCACCCCACTAACAGGGCAGAGTGCCTGAGTCCCCCAGTCCTGCCTCATGACCCTCTTGGGCACCAGCTCTCCATATGCGCCTGCCTAAGGCCACGGCACCCATCCGCCCTTCTCCACAGGCTGAAACAGTCCCGGCTGAAGGTGCGGTTCTGCACTAACGAGTCCCAGAAGTCCCTGCGGGAGCTGGTAGACACGCTGCAGAGACTGGGCTTCGACATCTCTGAGGGTGAAGTGACCGCCCCTGCCCCGGCCACCTGCCGGATCCTGAGGGCACGAGGCCTGCGGCCACACCTGCTCATCCCTGAAGGTAGGCCTGCAGCCCAGACCCTGTGGGGTGAAGACACCCCTTCCCCAAGGCAGAGGGCTGGGGAGGGAGGGATGCTTGGCTTCTCCTGCTGTTGATATGAGCTTGTGGGTAGAAGCCTCTCAGGGCATCTGGCTGGACACAAGGCACTCCTTTGGATAAGACCACCATCCATTACCAACCTTTACACAACACAGGTGCTGGGCGGCTTCTGAGAGGAAATACCTACAGGATGGGACCAGTGACCAGGGGACAGGTGGCTACCAAGGGGAATATTGTAGCTCATGTTGCAAGAAACTGTGTGTGTAAGAAAGAGGGAGAAAGAGAAAGCAAATAGACACATACAGAGAGAAGATAGATACAGAAAGAGACGAGAGAGGGAGAAGGTAGAGCAACAGAGGGAGAAAAGAGACAGAAGATGGTGTTGTGGTTGTGTACTGTGGACTCGGTTCCGACTCATAGCGACCCTGTACAGGGTTTCCGAGGCTGTAAATCTTTATGGGAGCAGAAAGCCTCATCTTTCCCCCACAGAACGGCTAGTAGTTTCAAACTGTTGACCCTGAGGTTAGCAGCTCAATTCGTAACCACTACGCTACAGAGACACATTTATAGAGAGAAGATAGAGAAAAGACAAAGAAGATAGAACAGCACACAGAAGGTGGAGAAAGAGAAGATAACCAGATACAAAGTGAGATGATGGAGGGAAGGAGAAAGATTACAGGGAGAGAGACCTAGAGAAGAGGAAGGGAGAGAAGCTAGAGGGATAGAAAACAGGCAGACAGAAAGAGAAGATGGGGAGAAAGAGGGAAGGGAGATTGAGCTCCGTAGCTTTCTAGTCCTGGGTTCATAACCTTGATGTTCTTTTGAAAAGCCAGCCCAGCTTTCTAGTGCCACTTGTGGCGACGTTGGGAACAAAGTTTGCATCCTCCTTTTAGTCTGACTGCAAGCACAGAGCCCCTTTGACCCTCTGTGGAGAGTTTTTCTGGAATAAAGCAGAGGGAGCAGAATTATCTGGTGCCTGCTGAATATTTCAGAACAGATATTAGCAGCACAGCAGAATTTAGGACGCTCTTTGCCTTACTTGCACCAGATCTTGACTTTACGAAGCACCTTGGGGTTTGAGTGCCCGCCTCCCATGAGAAGATATGGGTGCATGGATATGGGGTGTTCACAGGGACCCAAGTGGGATTCATGTCCCTGGTACCAGTTCAGGATGATCATGTTTTCTGCATCAGCCATCCCAGGTTCCTGCCAGTGTCCTTAGAACTCACTCCTCAAGGAAAGAGCGAGACTTCAGAAAGAAAGCCAACTCCCCAGGGAGGGTCAGTTGAGGGGAGGAACAACTTGGGAGGAGAGGGCAAGCCTAGCGCTGGCCTTAGCCTGAATCCATGCACCCACCAGGTGGACGGCACAGTGTGAGAGGGTTCTGGGGAGACAGGTGTGCCCCCTTAGCTGTAGGCATCCATAAAGGTGCCTGAGGTTTAAGTTGGATTGTTGACTTCACCCCACTTCCTCGCTCCTTCCCAATGTTACTTTCCTAAAGGGACAGGTGTTCTGTCCTCAGTGGGGCGTGGCTGGGAAGTCAGAAGGGAAGGGTCTAGCCTCTGAGGTTGTGAACAGCTTCCTGTCTTTCTACAGCTCTGAAGCTGCATCCTCCCTTCAGACACCTTCTGTCTTGGTTATAGTGTTATTGACTTACTGCTTCTGCTATTACAAAGGGAACCCTGAAGCTGGTGGGGGTCAGAGACACGGGCCCAGCTCTCTCCTGACAAGCCTGCTGACTGTGGGGCGCTGGGAGCTCTCTCACCCTTAAATGGGAACAGCACCCCTTCCTTGCCCACCTCCCATGGTGGCTGTGAAGGCGGGACTGTGAGCCGGGCTGGGCCAGTAGATGTGAGTCTGTGGGGTGACTCTGAGGGGAGTCAGGTAAGCCACGTCCCCCCAGGACTTATTCGCTCATACTCTCTTTCCAGGGGTCCGCTCAGAGTTCCATGGGATCGACACGTCCAACCCAAACTGCGTGGTACTTGCAGATGCAGGGGAGGCCTTTTCCTTCCAGAACATGAACAAAGCCTTCCGGGTGCTGATGGGACTGGACACGCCTGTGCTCATTGCCCTGGGGAAAGGGTGAGTCCACGTCTGGGCCGACACAGGGGCTGCTGGGAAATGGCATGGCTCTCCACCAGGATCCCGAGAGGCTGACATCTTTTCTCCCTTCCCTGCCTTCCTTTTTCTTTCCATCCTCAGATGCTGCTTGGTCAAGTTTCCATTTGGGCAGTAGACTGGGAGAGCTTGGGGGCTCTTTACAGACAGCAACCCCCCCAGAGGCCAAGTGCTGATTTCCCTGAGTCTAGAGCTGGGGGGGCGGGGGAGAGGGGGAGACACACTGGCTCTTGTTCTGTCAGAACAGAGAAAGCGGAGGGACACTGGCTCCTGGGGAGAAGACACTGCTTAGCCTTTGAGGGCTTGGAGTTTTTTAACGACAGGATTTGCACAAGGTGTTGAAGAATTGTCTCAGAGGACCAGGCCTCAGTGTGTGTGGCTGAGTTTGGGTGTCCTGGTTGGTTGCTGAGGGTGTGTAGGGTGTCCCAGTCTGGGTGCTGAGGGCGTGCTGGGTGCCCTAGTCTGGGTGCTGAGGGTGTGTAGGGTGCCCTGGTATGGGTGCTGAGCAGGGCCTCTGGTGACTCTGACCAGTGTTTTTGTCTGAGCTTTTGACGCATGCCTAGACTGTGTCTTTCTGTAAAGAAACCATGTTGGTGTTCTGACTTAACATCTCTTCTTAAAGCACGAGAAAAATGTTTACTGAAGAAAAATGAGAAAATACAGATAAGTAAAAGGAAGACAACAGTTGGACCCGCTGCATGAAGACAATGACTGTTGCCATCCTTCCACATGGTCTCCTGAGCAAAGAGATCATTCCAGATGTACATGCTCACACAGAAAACCCGGGGTGACACAAACAGTTAACATATTCAGTGGTTCACTACAAAGGTAGAGGTCCCTAGGACCATCAAGGGAGAAGAGCAGAGAGTGGGACCCTACCCAGAGAGGCAGTGATACCTGAAATGGAGGCAGAGATGATGACGTGGAGCGATGGAGCAGCTGGAGACTCTAGATCCAGAGAGGGAGAGCGACTGTGTGCTGAAGACCCGGGGGATACAGGGAAAGGATTGCAGGGTACAACTTTTGGTTGGTTGATGATACATGGAGGGGATTGTAACCATGGCAATGAGATGATATACAATAGAATGAATGTAAAACTAATGTTCTCCCATGTAAACTATCACATAATTCACAATAAAACATTTAAGGAAAAAAAAAAAGGTAGAGGTTCAAGTTGATCTAGAGGCACAGTTCTACTCTGACACACCATGAGTTGGAGTTGGCTCCATGGTAACTGGTTTTTTGGTTCTGAAGAGAGACCCACACAGCCCAGCGCTGACTCATCTCATGTTCCCCATGTCTCCCTTCTCCAGTGAAAGAAACCAGGTCTTTCTCAGGGTCACACTTAGTCCTGGGTGGAAAGAAAAAGATGCCCCAAACTGTTGTCGAGTCTGCCATTTCTAGACTCTCAGGAGAACACTGGCTCCCACAAATCAGAATGAGAAACTTAAATAGATTCCTTTTGATCGGAATCCAGGCTTGCGTTTCTAGAGCTGAGAATTTCTCTGTTTCTAATTCAGGAAAATATAAAGGTCTTTGGAGGGCCACTGCTAGCTGAAACTATTTCTAGAGGTAAAGACAATGATCAGGGCCCATGTTATCCCTTAGACTTGTGGGGTTTGGTCTATTTCTCTTTTGTTTCTTGGAATGATCAACGTCCCACCACGGTGGCCCTGGCTAGACTTGGAGTATGCCGCCACCACCAGGAGCCCACGGACGCAGGGGAGACAGGAGCCCGCCTGGGAGGAGCATCAGATGCGATTTTATGCTTTATTCTCCCGCCGTTTCAGATTATTCAGCACAGCCTCCCTTCAAAATGACCACTTGACCTTTCCCACAAGAGCCATTAACCTTCCAGAGTCAGCAGCGTAAACAGCTTAATTTTCTGACGGCGGCATGACAGAAGAAATTACAAAGCCAATTCCCACTCTCAGGTCCCAGCAGATGCCAAATGTAAATCACTCTGCTTCCAGGAGGAGGTCTCTGCCTCCCTAACAGTGCTCTGTCCAGAGCGAAGCTCAGACAGCAGCTCCCAGCCCCCTCTCCTTGTAGCCATTCTGGGAGGTTCAGAGCCAGCCCTGAAGCTTTTGGTTCCTTTCCCTGATTATTAAATCCCCAAACATAAACCAACTGAGAACCCTTGTCAGCTGCAGACCCCTAGACCCTTGCCTACTACTGGACTTGGCCCAACATTTCTAAGCTAATGGGGGAGGGGAATTCTCACCTTCCATGTGGGAGACCAGGGCTTAATTCCCAGCCAGTGTACCTCCTCCACGGCTACTGTCCACCTCTCAGTGAAGCTTGTGCGCTGCCATGATGCTGGACAGACAGGTTCAGGGGAACTTCCAGACAAAGACAGACTAGGAAGAAAGACCTGGTGATCTCCTTCTGAAAAACGAGCCAATGACAACACCGAGGAGCATAGCAGGATCAGTTACAGGATGGCACAGGACCAGGCAGTGTTTTATCCGTTTGTGTGTTGTTATTAAGTGCCCTTGAGTCAGTTCCTACTCATAGTGACCCTGTATAGGGTTTCCAAGGAGTGACTGGTGAGTTAGAACCACCAACCTTGTGGTTTCAGACAGACTTTGTGCATTACCCCCCAGTGCCACACCAGGATTACTTGTATGACAAACACACAAGAATATTTTTATTTTCTTAAACAAATATATCCTCTTTTTTCTTCCTTAAAACAACTATATTTGCCCTTATTTGGGTGTGATGGTAGGTATGAATCAGGAGTTAGGGTTAGGACTATGGCTAGATCCAGGCTAGGCATAGGACTTTGTTTAGTGTTAGGGTTCTGCTGGTGGTTGTTGTTAAGTGCCGTCTATTCGGTTCCGACTCATAGTGACCCTGTACAGGGTTTCTGAGACGCAGCTGGTGAGCTTGAACTGGCAACCTTGCGTTTCAAACTGACTTTGCAGTCTACAGCATCACCCCAAGACTCCAGGGTTATGGTTAAGACTACGGTTAGTATTAGGTGTAGGGTTTGGGTTAGGAAGTAGGCTTGGTGCAATTTTAGGGTTACAGTAAGGATTATTTTATTTATTAATTTTTTAAATGAAATCTGCTTGATTTCGTCTTTATTTGGAAGTTCTGTAACTTTTTATTATTCTCTCTTTTTACTGTATTTGTTGTTGTCGTTGCAAGTGTAATTCTGGTTCTCTATTTTCAGTCTTGTAGGTCTGTTGGACTTTAAATACTTCTGTATCTGGATTGAGTCCTGGGTGATGTGGTCATGTATGTTGTTAGTCTCAGCTTGTCTGCTGTTGTTGCTGGTTCTCTGGCCAAAGAACTCGTTTTAGTATTTTTTGTAAGTTTGGTCTGGGTTTTGCAAATTCTTTTAATTTCTGTCTATTTGGAAATTTCCTAAGTTCACCATATTTGATGGACAGTTTTGCTGGGTATATAATTCTTGATAGGCAATTTTTTTTCTTTCAGAGTTTTATATATGCCATCCTATTACCTTCTTATCTGGATAATTTTTGCTGAGAAATCAGAATTAAGTCTTAATGGTTTTCCCTTACAGGTAACTTTTCATTTTTCCTGAGCTACTCTCAGGAATTTTTCCTTGTCTTTGGTTTTGAAAAATTTCATTAAAATATGTCTTGGTGATTTTCTTTTGGGGTCTATCCTGTTTGGAGTTTAACTTCTTGAATGGCTATTTATGATACTTCACGATGTTAGGGAAGTTTTCTTCCAACAATTCTTGGATAGTTTCCTCTATCTCTATATATTTTTGTTCTCTTCCTGTTCTGGAATTTCAATCACATCTAAGTTCTTTGCAATAAAGCAAATAGAATAAAGAGAGTACGAAGGCTCTCATACAAAAGTTATGTTTATATTCAACAGTAGTCTACTAAGTGGAGTTAGTATTGGCTTATCTGAAAGGTCGGTGGTTCAAATCCTCCAGCCACTCAGTGGGAGCAAGATGAGACAGTCTGCTTCTGTAAAATTGTACAGCCAAGAGAAAGCCCGTGGGATGGTTCTGCTCTGTCCGGTAGAGTTGAAAGGAGTCAGAATCAACTTGATGACAGTGGGCTTGTGTGCACTTGTTGTTGTTGGGTGCCATCATATTAGTTCACAGCAGTCCCCTGTACAGCAGACGCAGCACTGCCTGGTCCTTCGCTGCCCTCACAAGTGTTCTGTTTGAGTCCATCATTGCAACTCCTGTGTCCACCCATCTCCTTGCGTGTCTTCCTCTTTTTCACTGACCTTCTACTTTACCAAGCATGATGTCCTTCTCCTGGGGCTCACCCCTCCTGACAACATGCCCAAAGTACAGGAACTGAAGCCTCCCCAGTTTCACTTCTGAGGAGCATGCTGGTGTACTTCCTCCAAGATGGATTTGTCTCTTCTTTTGACCATCACCGGTCATTTCAATATCTTCACCAATACCATAATTCAGATCATCAACTCTTCTCGGGTCTTTCTGAATTGGCCATAATTTAAATGCATCTGTTCTTCTTATTCATTGTCTAGCTTTCACATGTACATGAGCCATGGAAACTACCATGGCTAGGGTCAGATGCTGTCTTTTACTTTGTCTAGTCTCATACTTGAAAGCTGTTAGTTATCAGGAGGAACCAGTCCCTGGAGACAGCCACCATGTGTGGTAAAATGGAGGGTCAGTGACAGAGTGGATTGGGTTGACAAAGTGGCGTAGTTAACAATGAGCTCAACTATAACAACAGTTATGAGGATGGTGCACAGCCAGGCAGTGTTGTGTTGTGTTGTGCTGTGCATAGGGGCGCTATGAGTCGGAACCAACACGATGGCACCTACCAGCAACAGGGTCAGGCACACCTTAGTCCTCAAAGTGCCGCCTTTGCTTTTTAACACCTTCAAGAGATCTTATGCAGCAGATTTGTCCAATGCGATACATCATTTGATTTCTTGACTGCTGCTTCTATGAGTGTTGATTGTGGATCCAGTAAAATGAAATTCTTGACAACTTTTGTCGTTTCTCCACTTACCATGACGTTGTTTATTTGTCTACATGTGAAGATTTCTGTTTTATGTGAAAGTGTGCTCCATACTGAAGGCTGTGGTCTTGAATCTTCAGCAGTGTTTCAAGGCCTCTTCACTTTCAGCAAACAGAGTGTGTCGTGTGCAGATGACAGGTTGTTAGTGAGCCTTCCTCCAATCCTGATGCCATGTTCTTCTTCATATCATGCAGTCTCTTGGATTGTTTGCTCAGATATGGATTAAATAAGTATGGTGAAAGGCTACAACCAGGACACACACCTTTCTGGTTTTAAACCACACAGTGTCCCCTTGTTCTGTTTAAATGACTGCCTCTTGGTCTATGTACGGGTTCCACATAAGCACAAGTAAATGGTCTAGAATTTCCATTCTTTGCAATATTATCCATAGTTTGTTATGAGACACAGGGTCAAATGTCTTTGCATAGTCAATAAAATGCAAGTAAACATCTTCCTGGAACTCTGCCAAGATCCATCTGACATCAGCAATGATACCCTTTGTTGCACGTCCCCTTTGGAATCCAGCTTGAAGTTCTGGCAGCTCTCTGTTGATGGGCTGCTACAACCAGTTTTGAATTATCTGCAGCAAAATTTTACTTGTATGTGAGATGGATGGTATTTTTCCATAATTTCTATATCCTGTTGGGTTCTCTCCTTTGGAATGAGCACAAATATGGATGTCTTACAGTGTGTAGGCCACGTAGCTGTCTCCCATATTATTTGGCATAGACTCATAAATACTTACTGAAATCTTGGTGTGATGCTGTAGGGTAAGCACTGGATTGCTAACTGCAGGGTCAGTGGTTCAAACCCTCAGCTGCTCCTTGAAAACCAGGGTTGATATGAGTTGGAACCAATTTGAAAGCACTTAACAACAACAAAGTGAGTGTTTTCAGCATCATTGTGCACCAGCATTATGGAAAAGCTGGGAGTGGTGTTAATTACCAAAACCTGAGGCAGCAACATGAAATGAGCGAAGTCATTGGAGAAACAGTACCAGTAGACTGGCTCAACACCTGTTTGTCACAAACCTTCGGTTTGTTTTTTGTTTTTTAAAAAAAGGCAATATCTGTGAAGCCTGTACGTAAAGAGTTTAGCAATGGCCAGTGGCCAGTAAGCTGTTCACCCCACTGGCCGTGTTCAGAGGCTGGAGGCAGTGAGCTGTCAATCACCCAAGCTCCTAAACTGGGCTCTGCTTCCTCCAAGTGGGCCCCAGAATCCTGCCCCCCTGGAGGATCTGGGAAGGGACTTCTTGTGGCTTTAGGGACCTATGATTCTAAAATGCTAGTACTGCTTCTGTTGGTGAGCGAATAGAGTCACACTACTTCCTTAACAGCAGCTTGACAGTGTCTACCAAAGTGCTCACTCGGTCCTCAAGTTTGAGGCCACTGCTTGAAATACACAACGGTGTTCACCCAGCCTTACTGTCACGGGAAATCAGAAATAATTTGGACGTTCGTCAGCAGAGCGGGTTAAAAAGTCCTGTCCCAGAGGTATCTGTTTAGGGTTGATACAGAGTTTGGTGAAAAAGTGGGTTACAAATGAAGTCAGGCTTGATACTAGTATTGTGAATACAGAACCAAACCAACTCTTGACTACCCTGTGTGTGTAAGAGCAGAACCACGTCCCATGGGCTTTTCTGATCCATGCCATTGGTGTGGACCAGGGAGTGGCAGCCAGGGCACAGCCGCTGGGTCAGTGCAGCGTTCACAAAATCAGCAGCGAGACCACCCTTCAGTCAGATAGGGGAGAGGGAGTGGTCTGCGTGCAACAGCATCTGGTACCCACGACACTGGCACCTCACCTTGGCAGGGTGCTGTGAAACTAATGGGGTTGTCTTCTCCAGGCAGCAATTAGGGGTTAATGATAGTAATTAGGGGTTAGCCACATGCTCTGTGGGCCTACTGCCCTTTCCCAGAACACAGGCCAGTGTCTTTCTCTGTCCTGACCTGGAACCATCTGCCCTTGCGGCCCCCCTGTTAGTCACTGCTTTGGGGTCCCTCCGAAGCTGGCAGCAGGTGACCATTATGGGGCCGTGCTTTCCTGCCCACCATGGTAGCTGCTGGCCTCCACGGGTGATTGTCAGCATGGCACCAGGACTGACCCCTCCTAGTGACTCAGAAGAACCTGTGGGCCCTCTCTCAGCCCACCCCAAGCCCCCACTAACCTTGTCCCTTCCTTGTCCCTCCTCCCTCCCACTTTCTCACCTTTTTCTTCTTGTGAATCGGATGATAGTTTACAGAGCAGATCCTTTTCCATTCAACACGTCACACATCTTGTTTCATGTTCCAGATTGCCACCCCCACAGTGTACCCCCACGTGTCCCACTTCTTTCTTGTTTCCTGTTTCCATTCCCCCTCCTTTCCTAGCCCTTCTGCACTCTGTCCTTGGGCAGTGCTGCTCTTCTGACCTCATGTGGTTGATTCCTCTAAGGAGTGGATACCTCTCTGATGTTATTTTTCCCCTTGTAGCCCTGCCTAGGGGTGAGTGCAGTTGCAGACCTGAAGGTCCTAGCCTCAGACTCCACCAGTCTTATCTGACCGATGTGCCTGGCCTCTTTTATGATTTTGAGTTGTGTTCCTTCTCTTTTCTAGACGCTACTACAAAGAGGTCTCTGGCCTGATGCTGGATGTGGGTGCCTACGTGAAGGCCCTGGAGGTAATCTGCGTTGGGGTATCATGAGCCCCTGCAGACTTTCTGGGCCCATCTGGGGGCTTCCGATCTTTTAGGAGAAAAGGGATATGTTTACTGCCTGGTTAGGGTTAGGAAGCAGACTTGGTCTCTGGGCTCTGAGCTGGGGGCTCCCTCTTCTCTGAACCTCAGCTCCACCCTGTTCTCCCCCACTTCCTGTTCTCACGCACTCTCAACTCAGGAATATTCACCTGCACTGGCTGCCCTGCAGTACCTCACACTGGATATGACTTCACTGTGCACCTTCCAGCCCTTCCTCCAGTTTCCAAAGTCCAGTTGGCATGTCCTCATCCCACCCACAGGGGCTCCAGCTCCTTCCCACTCCCGTCCACACTGTTGTATGGTTCCTGGGTGCTATCCTAGCGGGAGGGAGACACTGATGGGAAATGGAGCCCAGGACTCCTCCCATAGGGATGGGCAGGGATGGGACAATTGCCAGAGCATGGGGTCAGGGTGGGAGCCCTGTGGCTTTGCTTCCAGCTGTAGGAGGATGCCCATGGGGGTGCTCTGAGTGTCCTGGCTGCCTGGGAGGAACTATGATGATCTCACCACGAGAAGTAATTCTCAGTCCTCATCATCCATTCTGTCCCCCAGACCCACTGACCCCTGAGCTCACACTTGGAACAGTCTTCCCTTTACCCAGGCTCTTGGGTGGTGGTAACAGTTTGCACTCAACTAAAGTACTGGACTGACTGCTAATTAATCACAAGGTTGGCAGTTCAAACCCATCAGCCGCTCCTCGGAAACCCTATACAGGGTCTTTATGAGTTGGAACCGACTTGACAGCACTTAATAACTCACTTGCAGTTTGGCACTGCAGAAGAAAGACTTGCCAATCTGCCTCCGTAAATATTACAGCCTCAGAAAATCTTATGGTGCAGTTTTATACAGGGGGCCATGAATCAGCAGTGGGTCAGGTTTGGTTACTTCATCTACCCAGAGGGAGATCTGTACTGCAGGCTGGGTGTATCTGCTCCCAGCCCCTAGACCCATGACTGCCTTCTCTGTCCCCAGTATGCCTGTGGCATCGAAGCTGAAGTGGTGGGGAAGCCTTCAGCCCAGTTCTTCCAGTCTGCCCTGCAGGAGATGGGTGTGGATGCTCACCAGGTAGGAGTCCCCGAATGCTGTGGGCATGGGCAGCCAGGAAGCCCAGGAGCTGGAAATGCACTAATGCTGATGTGGCTGGAGACGGGGCAAGGGACAGGAGACGAGTTCCACTGAAGAGTTTCAATTATTTTCAGTATAAAAGTGAGAAGTGGAAATGCTTTTGGCCGTTTCTACATGGCTTGATTGCTCCTTCTCTAAAAATCAGGATTGACAAGTCCAATCAGTGTACTGAAGCCCTATTGTGGCGCTGTAGGATAAGTACTGGACTGTTAACCACAAGGTCAGCAGTTCCAAACCACCAACTGCTCTGGGAAACCATTTGCAGGGTCACTGTGAGTCGAACCTGAGTGTACGGCACTTTAATAACAACAACATCAGTGTATTAAAACGATTCCATTGGAAAGACAGTGTTAACAGCAAGATTAGAACAATGTGCTAGAAATAAGAAATAAAATGATGGCTATTTTGGGGGACAGATTATATTCCAGACATATTTATTCAGAAGACAAAATGGGCAGACATGATTGTGGCACCCAGAGCGCCTCCCAGTCCTGATGGGGGCCGGGGGTGGGGGGCCCTCTGCAGGTGGCTTTCTGAGAGCTTTGTTGAAGAAGAGTGGACGAGCATTTGTGCCGACTCACATCCATACTGGGGGGTGGGGTGGGAGGAAAGTGTCCTTCACCTGTAGACATCCCGGGGCATTTCGAGGCCCCAGGATCACCACAGCGCAGTCTTCCCCAGGGGGCATTCTGGTCCAGAGCACTAGCCGCTCATGGAGCTTTGAGAAAAGATGAGCCACAGCTAAGGAAGTGGGGGCCACAGATCAGATCTCCCCGAGATTCTCTGAGGTTGTCCCTGTAGAACAGTGACAGGTCCCGCTCCAGGCTATTAGAGAACGTGAGAGAATGAAGACTACATGAATAAACACGGGGATTTCCACTACTTAGTCTCCTCAGCAGAATGTGTTTGTTGTAAAAACCTCAAACTTACACAAACGTAAAGGCACACGCTACAATGAAGCCTTATATGCCTGTCTCACTTTCAGCAAAGAAAAGATTCCACCTCATTTCCTTCTTCTCTTTTCTTTTGTTTGTTTCTTTTTAAAATCCCTTTTCTTTCTATTTACTTTTTCTTTCTTTTTTTCAAGCAGATTCCAGACTACTTCTGATGTGTGATTGTACCTTTTCATTGTAGAATGCTTCTCAAAAAATATGGTCACTTTAGGACACAACTCCAGTGCATTAAAACACCGAACAAAGCCAGCAGTAATTTTGAGTGTTGTCTAATACCCAATCCATTTCCATTTCCTCGGCTGTCTCAGAAACGTTCTTTGAAAGTCGGTTTGTTCAAATCCAGTCCAGCAAGGGTTGTGTCCTGCATGTGGCTGTCATTTATCTCCTGGCTCCTTTGAACTACCACAAAATCTCAGACATTTATAAAATTGCCCTGAGTTACTCTTCAACTCTTGACTCAGAACTGTCCTCTGAAGGCACCTTTAACTAAGTTAACAGTCTTGTTCAAAAAGAAAACAGTGTCTCCTCTGAGGATTGTGTTCTTTAAGAAAAATCATCTAAGGCCAAAGAGACAACAGCTGTCCATAGCGTAGAGGAGCAGGGAGGGGACGGGGTTTTTACATGGACTGGAGCGAAGCAGCTAGACAGAATTCACAAAGGTGCAGAGGCAGTGTGAAGACCGTCCGCAGTCACCAACCCCAGTGTCTAGAGACTAATCTAGACATAGGGGCGCGAGACCAGGTTTTGTATATCTTTACCAAAATAAGATATACTAATATTTTTTAAATTGCTGAAAGTTGAGACCGTAACATAATTCCCAGGTACCATCATTCATAATTTCAAATATATATATATATGAAAATATACCACCCCAAAAGTATTGTAACAAAAATGGGGGAGTAGTTAGTCTTACAGTCCAGAAACAGAGGACCCTAGGATAGTCAAGGGAGAAAAGCATGAGCAGAATGTGGGCCCTTATCCAGAGAAGCAGCAACACCAGAGATGGGGACATGGAGAGAGGGAGCAGCTGAGGACTAGTAGAGAGGAACTGAGAGCTGGTGGCCAGGAGGCAGACTTCCAGAATGTGCCTTTTGGTAGTTTAAATTATTATATATGCCTGAGTGTTTTTTGTGTGTTTTTTTTTTAAAAGAGCTAAAATGAATAGTGAGAAATACCGTTAACTGATGGTACATGGAGGGGATTATAATCATTGTAATGAAACAAAGTATTTGATTTGTTGGATGTTAAACTGATGATCTGCCCAGTAAACTTTCACTCAATTCACACTAAAAACTTTTTTTTTTAAAAAGAGAAAGAAACCATACCACCCCTCAGCACTCTCCAGAACTCATTTCAGTGGTCACCCAGAACTTAGACCCCATACTCATAGTTATGGGGTGTCTTAGGCTGGGTTTTCTAGGGAAGCAAAACCAGCGAAACATATTTATGAATAGATAGATAGAAAGAAGTTTACTCTCAAGGAAAGCACTTAACAATTGCCGAGTCCCAGGTCCCCAGTGGAAGAGAGAGAGTCCCTCCCACGTACCCATTATATTGGGAGCAGTCCACACCCCCCAAGGTAACATCCCTTCAATTGATTGACTGCTCATAGGACTCATCATGGAGCCAATTTTGTGTTGCTTTGTGTCCCCATGGGAATAAGTACATTCCAACTGCCAAACCTCTGGAAATCAAGTTGACAAAGAATGATTACATTCCACCCTTGTCAACTTGGCACCTGTAAACCATTTGCATAATCTCTAAAGAATTTGTGAAGTCATACTTGCTCTTAATGTAATATAACTAAAACACTTATAATCAAGAAGGTACCAGCCTTAATTTCATTTTAAATGTCACAAATTAACAAAGTAAAAGTATTTCATGCACACATGCAAACAAAACAAAAAATACATATTCATTTACATGTCCAAAGGGCACATTCTGCCAGCCAGCCTCCTGCCCCCAGGCACACAGCCTTACTCAGTCCATGGACCTAGAGTCCACAGCTGCTCTCTTTTCCATGCCGCCACCTCTGCTCTTGCTGCGATTCCAGGCAGGGATCCCAAGCTCCATTCAGGATCTTCCTTAATGATCCTGGGTTCATCTGTACCTGAAATGAAAGATAACTACTGCCCCCTTTTTAGTTATACATCTTCTACAATTACCGTTTTGACAATCACAATTACGCCTATTAACAGTTACTTATAATTGAAAGAATAAAACCCTATCAGCATCATCCCCCACCCCCTTTCATGGGCCCCATCTGGAAAAGAGGAAAACTAGTCAGTGGCAATTCTCCCTTGTCCCCTCATTCTAAAACTAACCACATCCATGAAAACTTGTAAGCCAGCCACTTTATTCCTTTATAGCCCCCCATTTTTGATAGCCAATGTCTAAATATCCTGTCCCTATCAACCCAGTACACTGAGGAGACAAGCGTTTCCTTGATATGACGAATCTTCCCTTCCAATTGGAATTTTGAGCAACTGTATCCATAAGCTATGGGTCGGAACCGACTCGACAGCACTTAACAACAACAACAACATCCATAAGCAAAAGTCTATTTCATCAAAATCGGAGCAGTTGACACTTGCTCACAGTATCAGACTTCTTTCTTCATCTGACCAGGTTCTGGGCAGCTCAGTCTGAGCCATCCAAGCTAGGTCAAATGCAAGTTTGGGAGGTCACACACACATCCTGGCACTTCAGACTAGCTGGCCCTTCACTCTTAGCCCTAGCCCCCATGGGCTCAGGAGTTCACACAGTGTCCTAAACTTCATACCAGTCAGCCTTCCCTCTGAAGGCCAATTGGTGCCAATAGAACACGTCCAAACTCAGACCATGTCTTCATTGTTGCATTTTCCCCAATTCCACTCATGTGTAGACCCAGGTGGTTACCAGCGAGCATATGGCGGCTCTGGTTTCTTTGAATTTTCAGTCCTGGTTATGGTTATGTGCCGTGGAGTCGTTTCCAACTCATAGTGACCCTGTACAGGGTTTCTGAGGCTGTAAATCTTTATGGGAGCAGAAAGCCTCATCTTTCTCCGTGGAACCGCTGGTAGTTTTGAACTGCTGACCTTAAAGTTAGCAGCCCGATTTGTAACCACTACGCTACCAGAGCTCCTTAACTTTCAGTCCTAGAAGGGGTTTTTTTCTGATGAGCCAAGATACCTCAAAATGCCTAACTGTCACTTTCTCTGCTGGAATCTCCTGTTCTCCACTTTTCAAATGCAAATGTACCAACTCTAGGTGGGGCTCAGGATTCCACCTAAAGCCCTATACTCTACAAAGGTTTAAGGAGCCTTTGTAGTGTAGTGGTGGAGCTCTGGTAGCCTAGTGGTTATGAATCAGGTAAGGTCAGTGGTTCGAAACTACCAGCCGTTCTGCGGGAGAAAGATGAGGCTTTCTACTCCCATAAGGATTTACACCCTCGGAAACCCTGTACAGGGTCGCTATGGGTTGGAACCGACTCAACGACACTTAACAACAACAACAATCTCAAGGTCTGCAATTGGAAACTACCAGCCTTTGCACGGGAGAAAGATGAGGATTTCTGCTCCCGAAAATACTAGGACACACCACCACCACCACCTACAAAGGCTTAAAGTCAGAAGCCTATTTTCCCCAGGCAAATTCAAACTCACAAATCCAATCAAGTATAATCAAATATGGCTGAAGGCCGGTGTGTAAACACTCTAACCCTAATTCCCAATTCTCATATCACTTATGCTTGTCTATTTTACAATAGTGGTGAGGGTGGTGTGCCATGGAGTGGGTTCCGATTCACAGTGACCCTGCACAGGGTTTCTGAGGCTGTAAATCTTTATAGGAGCAGAAAGCCACATCTTTTCCCATGGAACAGCTGATAGTTTCCAACTGCTGACCTTGAAGTTAGCAGCCTGACTCATAACCAGTACACTACCAGAACTCCTTATTTTAAAATCATAGGTTTATTGTTTGATGCCATCGAGTCGGTACGGACTCATA